TAGCCACCATCATCTCTAGCAGGGGCTGTTGCAGTAACGTCCTAGGTGTCCCCCTGTCTTAGATCTCCCTTCCTTCCAAACCATTCTTAACAAGGGTGACAGACTTATCTTTCTGAATCACATGCCCAAGCGTGTCACTTCCCTGCTTTAATACCATTTCTGTGCTTTGTCGAAGTTGAATGCCTCTGCCTATATTGCTGCTTTGGCTTTTTTATTATTGGTGTTTTGCCTAGAATACCTTCTCCTTCCCTCTTGACTACCTGTTCGAACTCCTCCTAATTCATCTCTCAAGCTCAAGTGCCACCTTCTCTGCAAAGCCTCTCCTGGTCTCCCACTGTACCCTAGACATCTGAGCACTTCTGTTACAGCGTGATAATATTATTATTTGATAACTTTTCTATCTACTCTTTAGAATAGACAGTGAGCTCTTTGACGACAGGGATAATGCCCTATTCACACTTCCTTCCCCCAAACCTAGCATGGTGCCTGGCACTTAGTAGATACTCAGTGTCTACTTGGATGGATGGACCCAGATGAACAGATGGTTATGTGAAGCAAAAGGGGACTTCAGATAAAGCACAAACAAGCTCCCAAGTTTTCACAATGGGATGCCCTCTTTGCTACTTACATATCGCGTTCCCATAGCAGATGAGCAGCATCACACAGTATCTGCACACCAAGAAATCAAAAACTTTTACTTTGCCGAATTTTGGTTAACGGTCATCTGTGAGCTGTCATCTGTGCTGCTACTGGGCCTATGTCGATGAGAAATTCTCATCAGAGAATTGAAGCATGAATTGAGAAAGAGAAAGTATTCTAGGCAAAACACCAATAATAAAAAAGCCAAAGCAGCGGTATAGGCAGAGGCATTAAACTTTGACAAAGCACATGAAATTTAATCAGTGCTTTTATGCCATCGAGGCGTCTTCATATCTGAGGGAGCAGCTGGGCAGGTGGGGGAGGGGGGGTACAGTTGCATAACCCGTGATTCCATTAGTGAAGAAACATAAAGCTCAGAGAACAACATATCTGAATCATATACTCTCAGCCACATCAGCAACTTCTTGAGTTAAGTTTTGATCTTGGGCCCTTGACATTTATTACAGAGCTAAGAATGTCATGTGAGGAATGTTTCCATGCCTTAGAAACCCATACTGAAGACGGTATTTTTGTTTGTTTGTTTCTCGGTGACTCTTATGTGAGGATCCTATGAAACATTTCCCCAGGAATTTTATTCCAAAGAAACGCTGCATTAAAAGAGAGCTGATACCCCTTCTTCTAGCCCCTCGCTACAACAGTTCTGGCCACGGCCCAGAACATCAGCCTCACTCGAGAGCTTGCTGGAAATGCAGACTCTCAGGCCTGCCCTGGGCCTGCTGAGTTAGAGCCTGCATTTTAACAAGATCCTCAGGGGATCTTGTTAAACATGACATTTTCAAGGAGCTCTGATCTCGCAGATACTAAGAACTATTTAACCCACCGTCTCTTATCACCCGCATTTCCAGGTTACCAAAGAGATTCCATGCTCTTTTAGAGTAACTCAGCGAATCCCAGGTATCACGTGAAGTCATTTTTCTCTTCGTTCACTCAGCATCTTAATTGAGCATTCGCTGTGTGCCTGGCCATGTGTTAAGAGCACTAGAAGAGGACTAGAAAGAGGACTAGGGTCTCTCCTGACCTCAACAAGCTCATAGACTCACGAGAGAAACAGGACAGGAAATGGCTTCTGTTCTGTCCCACCGCCATAGCGAATGCCACCTCGCTAGCCACCTGGTTAAAACTGAAACCCTCGGTGGGAGCACAGCTTTGCTCTTTTCACAGGCGTGGCGGGGAGAGGTCTTTGTAGCTCTCTAGGGTTTAGGAAAGGGTGGTAATGGAAGCGTCACGCGGGATCCTTTTTTCTCACGGTCAGTCCTGCCATTTTTAGTTTCTTTAACATTGCTTCTCTCCAGAACCATTAATTCTGTCTTGGATTTTGTTCCTGCAACTTGTCACGATTACAGTCCTGAAGCATCTGTCTCCTGGGGTGAATACCCGTTTGTCCGTCTGTCTCTGTCCCTTCATCCCCAGGGAGCTGGGTGTGGTCAGTCCCTCCCTGGCTGCTCTGGCTCCCAGGTGGCAGTGACAGCCCCCCTTCCTCTGACAGGTGTCCCCCTCCTGCCAGGGACAAGTCCCTTGCTTCAGCTTCCTCCTCCCCAGTCGCCGGCTTCATCCAGCCACAGTGTCCTCACTTTCCTCATCCTGCTCCTTTCGTGGTTGCTCCATGGCACCCTGGCCCCACCCACAGCGGCCTGGCCCTCTCCCTCCCCACCCACGAGACTCTCCCCCATTAGCACCTCACATCCTGCCCAAGGATGGAGGGAGCCCACTTGGTTCGGCATCTCCACTCCTGGCATCCGCGTGCTGCCTCCAGCTGCCACCTTCCCGCTGCTTCTCGTCATTCGATGTCCTCCTCACCATCTGCTGTCCATTCTCCCCGCTAAGCAGAACACGAGTGCAGCCCACGGGGAACGTCTGTACACGGCGGATCGGCCAAAAAAATATCGTGTGTTTAATAAATTACTGTCTAAAAGTAACCTCTCCATCCCTGTAGGATCGGGCACGTAAGGAGTTTGAAATATGTCCTTTATAGTTCTGTGGGCTCATTTAGATAAGATTGTTACACTTGATACTGAAAAATGCTTCAAAGCCTTATATGATGTGATCCACACACTCGAAATTTAGAAATTAAATATGACTATGAAATATGTTAGAATTTTACTGATTATCAGTCTGTTCTCTTCTGCCTTGTCACCTTGCTTTTTGTTTACGTGCCCTTCACACTTTCCATCGCTGTCACTCTCCAGAGCCTTCCAAACATTTGAAGTGTGTATGCTACTTGCAACTTCTTCATATTCAAGATTCAGATCCCCCCCCACCCCCCACCCCCCCGCCATAGAACTGACTATAGCGTTTCCCAAACCCTTTTGGCTCGATTTTGTCTAGGAAATACCAAGCAGTTGCCTTTTCTGCCAGTAGGGGTGCTCTTGTAAACATTAAAATTTGATAAAGTTACCCTACTTGGGAATTTTTTTTTAGCTTTAAGTAAATTGAAGTCTCATTCATTTTTAGTCTGAAAACGTGCAGTTATATACAGCTTCAATTCCAAATATCCTGTCTCTGAAATTCCTTTCTATGCATAACACTCTTCCCTCAACCTGCATAAGGTCAGACTCTTAGCTTGTATATAGCTATTATTCCTATACCAGTCTGTTGCTGAATTTTTATATTCAAATAAATTGGGGTTGTGAATTATTCTGTGTGAATATGATACAGATTTTAATTTGAAGTAAGCTAATTTGAACTGACTAGGAAACGGAAGCCCTAAATTAATGAAAAATCCATGAATAGGAGTTGAAATAAAGATTTCATGAGGTGGCAGCACCTTTTTTTCCTGTTTCACTGAATGTCTTCATCTGCTCACCTCTTCCATCACATAATCTCGTGTGAGGTTAGAAGGTGGCAGAGTCTATAGAACATGAGGAAAATCCCATATTCCATAGGCTTTTTAAGGCATCTTATCGTAGGCCTGTGGCTTGGGGGTGGGGGAGCAGGGTGGACCACATCTAGTGTGGGTGCATGTGATGCAGAGAAGTCGAGTGTCCTATACAGTGATGCTGAGATGGTTAATCCCTGTGGCTCTGTGAGGTTAGAGATGGGGCGAGGGTCTACTCCAAGTGTCAGGAGTAGACTTGGCATGGCCTGGAGAGGAAGGAGATGCTCGGGGGCTCACATCCATCAGAATTCTGTCTATAAAGTAAGAGAAAAGCTGTGTGATCTTGGGCAAGTCACTCAGCCTCTCTCAACCACAGTTTCTTCACCTGTGAAATGGGAATTTGACCAGATGACCACAGAAGTCTATTTAGTTCTAATGCTCTGTAATTCTCTAAGACAGCGCCATCCAATAGGACTTCTTGTGATGATGGAAATGTTTTATAACTGTGCTGCCCAATACAGGAGCCACTGGCTGCCTTTGGCTATTTTCGAAATGTGTCTGGTATGATTGAAGACTACCATATTGGACAGTACAGCTCTAAGATATAGAAGGACCTATATTAGAGAAAAATAAAACATACAGTTTCACTTTTTCCCGAAACTAAAAGTGGTAACGTTTAAGCCAGATGGACTCTGGTTGTGCCAGAGCCCTGAGGTTGACCTTCAAAGCTTTTCTAAGGGTCCAAGGATTCGTGACAACCGTAGGATGTCAGGCCTCAACGGTCAGTAATGTTTACTCTGATAAAAATATGAATCCAGTTATTAAAATATATCCTCCCTCCCCATGATGAAGGAGTATATCCGAGAACAATCCAACACAAGGCTGCCTGACCCGGAAGTCATCCAGTTCTGTGTCTCCATCTTCAAATGCTCCAGGATCCTGCTCCCCAGATGGCGTAGATCAGCAGTTCTTAGAGGACTTCCACAGGGTGACCAAAGGGGGCTCCACCGAGGACTCCAGCCAGTACTACTGTGACAAGGTGAGCAGGCTCAGGTCCTGCGGCACTGAAGTGGCCAGATGACCTACCCACGCTTCCCTGTGCAAGGCACCTCATGGGCAATTAGGTAGTTGTGACTGAAAGAAACCACTGGAGAGGGAAGTAACATAACTGATCTCTTTCCAACATTTTCCAGAATGATAATGGCGATGGCTACTTAGTCTTGATCCGTATCACACCAGATGAAGATGGAAAATTTGGATTTAATCTAAAGGTATGTTGTATATATTTATAAGGAAGTTTTATGCTCTGAAGCAATCCGTAGATGACTTTTTGATTTCCATTGGAAACATGCCGCATACCTGAGGCTGCATGAAGAAATTGGCTCAGCTCTCAGAATTGGAGGCTTTTTATGTGGCTGTAGCAGCTGCTTCATACCGAAGCCCTGTTATGTGCTTGGCACTTACTATGTACTTATTTATATCACCTTATTGAGTTCTAAGCGTTGAAGTTGATTTTTTTTTTTAAAGCCTACAGCACCCGGTCTTTCCAGGTGGTCTCCCATACAAGTACTAACCAGGCCCGACCCTGCTTAGCTTCCAAGATCAGACGGGATCAGGCATGTTCAGAGTGGCATGGCCGTAGACTTGAAGTTGATATTTTTAAACCCATTTTACAGATGCATACTAAGGCCCAGAGAGATGAGGGCACACAGTTGGCAAGCAGATCTACCCCTAAAGAGGGGTTATTAGGAGCGTCCCTCAGCATTGCTAAGTCTGTAAGAGAGAACAGTGGTTAAAGTTGCGAGGGCATTTGTTGGCCATCACCCTCCTCTGCCTGTCTCTAGTCTAACTGTAAACTATGGCCTGTTTTTATAAATAAAGTTTTCTTGGAACATAGCCACACCACTTCATTTACAAATGGTTTATGGCTCCTTGGGCACTATGGTGGCAGGGTTGAGCAGTTGCCACAGAGCCCTCTGTCCCACAAAGCCTAACATCTATATTATCAGGTACTTTACAGAAAAAGTTTACCAACTTCTACTCTAGAGCAAAATGAGAGCAGGTGGTCTTTGCTGCCCACCCTGCAGCTGCCATCATATACTCCTTCCCTGTACCCCCAGCCGTCCTGCTAATGACCTGATCTTTGAGGTCAAAAACCCTCACAACGTGTGACCTTTTCTGTGGCTTCTGTCACCTCTACTGAAAACTCGCTGTCCAGTAGCACTTAGAGGCTATGCTTTTGGAGTCCGTCTCCTGCCCATGTTTGCATTTTTTAAAGGAGCTTGCTTCTTCCAAGTGGGCCTTCAGTTCATGGAATGTGGGAACAGCAATGGGAGGAGTGGGAGGCTTCTGAGCAGTCTTGTTAGTCCACTAGACCCAGAGGGCTCAGGAACCTTGTAATTCTGAAAGGGTGCCATCTCTGGGATTAGAACAGGATAAAGTGAACTTGGAGTCCTCCCCTGTGCCAGAGAGATCTGCATGTCTTTGTTGCCGTGAACTAAAGTGTTATTATGTTTTTAATTTCACATGTTTACAGGGAGGAGTGGATCAAAAGATGCCTCTTGTGGTATCTAGGATAAACCCAGAGTCGCCTGTAAGTAAACATGTTCCATTACTTCCCGTGTTTGTTTTTCCCTAAGTCTATCAGATTTCTGTTTCAGTGTCTTGTTTCTGTTTTGCCAGCAGCAAAGAGAGTGTGTACATGCATGCATGTAGATGGAAAGAAAGAATGAAGTTCCTGTTTTGCAGAACCTTGCTGCTCAGTGTGGTCCCCAAAGCTGCAGCACCAGCATCACCTGGTAGCTCATTAGAAATGCAGACTCTCGGGCCCCACCCAGACCTCTTGAGCCAGAATCTATATTTTTAACAAGATCTCCAGGTGACGGGTATGCACATTAAAATTTAGAAGTACTGATCAAGAGAAGGAAACTGAGGCATAGAATTTGCTTTCTGCTCACCCTGAGTGTGTATGTGGACCCTTTGCTCCCTTCCCACCACCACTTGTCTTCAGCTCTCTGTCTAGGTCGCCTCAGCAAATCATTTGTTTTTTTTTTAGAGCAATAAGAACCAAAAAAGTCACTGTGCCTCCTAAGAAGGTACCAGTTTGGGGGTTTTACTCTTAAGTAGCCCTTAAGGTGGCAGTTTACTTTTTCTTCACTGCTCATGGCCCGTTTCAAATAAGGTTTTCATTCCTACACTGTTCAGTGCATTGCTTCCCTCCATCGTGGTTTCTGCCTTTGGTCTTATGCTCACGAAGGCTTTCTCCACTACAAGACAGATAATTAGTCACTTTTAGCTGACAGATCATTTTCTAACAGCCCATCTAGAGAACAGAAGATCAGAAGCATCATAGTCATTAAGTTTCATTAATAAGCGAAGGTCGGCTGCCATAGAGAAATGGCTTCCCTGATTTTCTTAGCCTTATTCTGAAATGTTTTATAACTTATGTTCTGAGCAGCACTTTGTTAAAATCCCACAACCAGCCGCCACGTCGTCATAGCAGCGGATGTAAAAACAATGACGATAGTACCTGAGGGTGAGGAGGAGAACTCGATCACGGTCTCAAGTGTCTGGGCTCAGAGCGCGTCAGGGTTCTTCCCTGGAGGACTGCGTCATGGGAACCCGGGAAAACGCGCTTTTACTCTCCATTCAGGCGGACACCTGCATTCCTAAGCTGAACGAAGGGGATCAAATCGTGTTAATCAATGGCCGGGACATCTCAGAACACACCCATGACCAAGTGGTGATGTTCATCAAAGCCAGCCGGGAGTCCCACACGCGGGAGCTGGCCCTGGTGATCCGGAGGAAAGGTAACCGCCACCTGCGGGGGAGGCGCCACAGGGACACTGCCTTAACGAAGGGGGACCTTCTCTGGCCCTTCTGTGGTTCTGAAAATGTTGCGCTTGCAGCCAACATTTGAAAATCAAGAACTTTCATATAACAACCTGATATCTGACTTCTCGCTGGAAAAATGTGAAGATCTTCCCACGTGGGGCCCGGCCCCTCACGCACAGTCCTCTGGGGGCAGGCAGCACCCAGCACCCCCTTTATAGAGGTATGAGTCCCAGTTCCTGGCAGGCCGACGGGGCCCTCACCGTGCACCTCTATCAGCTGCCTGGCCCTACAGGCATTTGCATTTTCAACCCTTTATGGAAGGATCAGGTTATATTTTATTCACGTGCATATATGGGTTTGTTGGAGAGGCAGTAAGCAGGGCAGGAGGGGCTTGGCTACCTTGGAGTGATTCTCACTCCACCTCCTACGGGTTGAGGGACCTTGAGCAAGTTTCTTGAAGTTCCAGTCTGTATTTGTTTCCTCTAATGTAAAATGAGGGTAACAGCAGTCCCTACCTCATGGGGTTCTTGTGGACATGAAATTATACTCGTACTGGAAAGCACCGACAATGCTGCCTGGTAGCGGTAGGTTTTCGAAGCATGGCTTCTCCTGAATACAATTACTATTCTTGCTGTTATGAAACCATAAGCTGAGTCCTTGGATGCTCCTGCCCAGCTTTAAAATACTGAAGGTAAATGCAGCGTGTGACCCAAAGCCCTGGCCCTGATCTCTGTTCTGACTTCACAGGTGTGGGCACAACCCCATATCCCTGGCTTGTCTCTGTGCCCACTAAAACTCTGAGTCCACAGCCATCCAGTGCCAGCTCTCATCCTGCCTCCTCCGTGAGGCCTTACTGGATCCTGTAGATCAGCGGTCCCCAACCTTTTTGGCTCCAGGGACCACTGCTCCTATGAGAACCCAATGCCTGATGATCTGAGGTAGAGCTGAGGCGGTGAGAGTAGCACTGGGGAGCGGCTGCAAATACAGATGAAGCTTCGTTTGCTTGCCCACCGCTCACTTCCTGCTGTGTGGCCTGGTTCCTAACAGACCATGGACTGGTACCAGGAGATTGGGAACCCCTGCTCTAGATCCCTACCCATCCCCACACTGCCCCAGCCCCATCAAATCCCAGCACCCTGCTGGGTACATAGTAGGTATTTATTAGCAGTAGTGGCTAATACCTGTGGTAATTGCTTTACGTAATTATCCTCTTCAATTCTCATAACATTCTTATAAGGTTAGTATTGTTATCCCCAAGCGAGGAAATAGAGAAATCAAGTCACAGAGAGGTTACGTACGTTGCCCAGCTGTTGTGTGGCTGGTAAGGCTGCAAGATAATAGAGAATAAAAGAATCCAGTAATTGAGAGCAGGCCCCTGTGTCACCTGATGCACCCTGCGGTGCGCTGGCCTTCATGGGGGACCAGTGGGAGAGCAGTCCTACCTGTCTGAGGTGAGAAAAACAGATGTGTATAGACTATTAGAGCTAAAAGAGCAGTGCCACTGGTCTTCTCTAACTGTAATGATAATGTTTATTGTTTAAACATACATTTAAGTAAAAAATATGAGTCAATTGAAAGAAAAATAAGTAAACAGCGTAGAGAGCAGTTGAAATGACAGAAGTCACCGAAGTAGAAGAAAAGATGAGCTTCTCTGGTCAGTGAGAAGAACATGCTGTTTAGGGTCAGACAGATGCGGACTGAATTCCTGTGTCCTGCCCTGACAGGCTGGGTGTTTGGACAACTTTGCCCTGAGAGTCAGTTTCCTCATCTGTATAATGGGGATAACGACAGCTGGTCCAGAATTGTGAGGACTCAGTCCACCTCCAGGGAAACGCACAGGCTATTGCTTTCCTCGCCTTTCTCGTTATCTTGAAGACAGTAGGAAACCAATGAAGGCCTTTGAATAAGGGAGTGATGTCCCCTTCTGGGTGGAAAGGGAAAAATCAGAGATTATCCCAAAGTTTCCAGTTTGGGGAATTGGAGAAGGAAGTGACAGTAGATGGAAAGGGGCACGTGAGGCTGGGGAAGGTGTGGGGGGGGTGGTGGGGAGCGGGAGTCCGAGGTTAATTTTATTCATACGGAGTCTGACGTGAAGGGAAGATTTAAGAGGTAGGGCCGAAGCTCAGAGATGTTAAGACTAGAGATGTTTACTTGGGAACCTTCCACCTAAAAGTAGCCATGAGTTAGACATTGACTAAGTTCTGTGGGACGGTGTTGTCATGGCGAGCGCATAGGACCTCACACCAGTGCCCAGGGAAGTGCCTGTTTTAAAGGAGCAGACGAAAAGGAACTGAGAAGGGTTGGGGGATGGGTTAAAGAAGAACCAGTTCAGAGAGAACAAAGGGAGAAGATACATGTTCTTTAAAAACATTCTTTCCCTTTCTCTTACGTTTGGCAAAAGCCTTTGAGTACTAAACACCATCGTAAACTAACCAGAATAATATCTCATTTTGTATAATTAATGCATATTGAATCATTCAACAAGAAGTAATGTCTTTGGTGAAAATTATTACTGTGTGCTTAATCATTTAAGAAGGTGTTATAACCCATCTGCATTCAGGTGTCATAAGTATAATTTGGGCGGATAAAAGGGATCTCCAGAGCTTTGCCACATATGCTAGACGTACCCTTTCTTGTCTGCTACAGCCGTCCACTCATTTGCTGATATCAAATCTGAAGATGAACTGAACCAGCTTTTCCCAGAGGCCATTTTCCCCATGTGTCCAGAGGGTGGGGACACTTTGGAGGGATCCATGGAACAGCTAAAGAATGGCCTTGAAAGTGGGACGGTGCTGATCCAGTTTGAGGTA